GCTGTACTGCACATGTAAACGTGGTTAAAAGGGCAATTTTATCATATGTCTATTTTACCAAGATTTGGAAGAAAAAAAGATCTCAGCATTTACATCATGAATGACTGTGTTTTTGGCTCAAGATCATTTTGGAGCGTCAGGGAAGGACTGGTTTCAGTCATTCAATGACTATTGTTCAAACGCCTACTCCTGCACCCCATACTATGATGGGTACTTGACAGTCAATTTTGAGGACAAGTCAGTAAAAAAGCAATTAGAAACGAAGTAAGCGCTATGGAAGGGTAAGCAGAACTCGCACGCTGAAGATGACAAGAGAACCTGCCCGCCATCCACAGGCAACTGGACAGACAGTGAACCTGGCCAGCAGCCCAGACCTTCCGGAGAGTATGGAACAGTGAGGGGTCCCAACCAAATGATTCTTCCTAGCTTCCGTGTGTAGATGAGACATTTGCTTAAAATCTGGGTCTTTCATATGATATATGAGCTCGGTGCTTGCTGCAAAGGAAATATGCAAAATCTTTACTCCCTGAAGCTACAGGTAAGGAATCTCATTAATGATAATGTTAGTTGACTTATTGCAAAATGCATGTTAGTGACCTGGAAAGGGCATTTCCCTCACAGTGGCGTCTTCTCTTTGTAAAGGCGATGAGGCCCTTCTTTTGTGAGTGCTCCTGTGCAGCTGGGCTGGGGGTTCAGCATGGAGCCTGTTTTCCTTGATATGACCCTTTCTTTTCACAGAGGACAAAACAAAGTTGAAAATGAGTATAGTGTTCTTGTCTCCTTCTTTGACTTAATATTAACATCAGAAATATCACGCATGGTCCAGGAAGAGGAACTTTTTTTGTAGATTTCCATTCTGATACCGCCATCACCTCTGGCACATTGTAGAAAGCTTTGCAATATGTTCATCACTGCATGAGCACCAAGAGCTGAGTTCTTGCTATAACAGTATTCATAAATTTCGCCATTCAGAGAGGTCTCTGGAAGTTCCTTCTCAAGTGTCAGGAATCCCCTACACTTTGGGCAACTTTTTTAGCGAATAGGGCCTGTCTTATTATTTAAACCATTTCCCTTGGATACGTCACATCTCCCTTTCTCGGTACTACCTTTCCAGAGCACGTAAGTGTTAGACAGTCAAGTGTTAAGCACCACTTTGTATTTCTACTTCCCCAAGTGCCAGCGCTAATAAACCACAGTGTCACTACGTGCTTTTGTTAGTCTGAGGTACCGAGGAGAAGCCGTGGGGGGGAATGAGTACACTGTACAGTGCTTCATAAAAGTCTCCGGAAGTCTGACCCAAAATAATCATGTTTCCAAATAGCAAAAATAACCCAACTATCAACAATCAAGAGATACTAAAAATAATCTGCAAAGAGGATTTTAATTATATTACAATATATTTAATTATACTTAAAGAGCTTTTCCCCCCTAAATTGAATAGCATATATGTTTGGCATTAAAAAACAATAATAAATTCCTCCTCTCAAAATTATTTAAAATCACAGCCATAAAGTCATTAACATCTCAGTGTATGTCCTTTCACTATTTTAAATATGTTTGTGAATGTGTGATTTTATATACGTATATATACACGTATATATCTTGAGGTATATGACCATGTTTTTGCCAATTGCTTTTTTACTCAGCAATATAGTATTAATATTGTTCCATGTCAAGAAATAGTACCCTTCAAAATAATTTCAATAAATGCATAATATTCTCTTCCATATATTTAGAAAAATGGTTCCACAATTTACTTGACTAATCCTGTTGCTAGAAATTTAGATTACTGAAGCATTTCCCTTTTGTAAACAAGGCGACGTTAAAAGTACTCACACGTATATCTTTATACAGCGTTATAATGACTTCCTTAGGGTAAATTCATAGAAGTGGAATTACTGAAACGCCTCTCTTTTGCAACGTTTTATTTAGAACAATGACGAAACTAGAGAAAAGTTGTGAGAACACCACAAAAATTCATATGCCCTTCTCCAGATTCACCAATTGTTAACATCTGTGTTTACTTGTCCCCCTCTCTCTGTCTCCCTTGACCTTTCACACATAATATACTTCTTTACTATCTTTTCCTCGGGAACAAAGATATACCCCATTACCACGATAAACGACAGCGCTCAGGAAACCTCACGTCAACACTGCACTGTTATCTCAGTTGCCCTCCATGTTCAAATTTCCTAGTTTCTGAATAAAGCTGCTATGAACATCTGTGCACAGGTTTTCTTGTGAGGTTTTGACTCCTTCGGGTAAATACGTAGGAGTGTGCATCCTGGGTCCAATGGGAAGAGCATGTTTGGTTTTGTCAGGCCTATTTTTGAGCCTAAGGATGCCCTGAAGAAGTTACTGGGACACTAAGGGATCCACAAATTTAACACGTTTGGGAACCTCTGACCTAGACTGTGACTTAGGCAAGAACCAGATCCTTCTAGAAGCTGCAGGTCCTCTTGGGAACACCCAGCATTCTCCCTCACAATTCCATATTCATAACCAAGGAGAAGAAAGCAGGGTCCTTGTGCCTGGGATGATAATTAGGAACCTCTGGGGGGAACCTGGGAAATAGAAATAACCCGAAGAAAATAAATGATTAGAATAGAAGGGAAAGCGAATCAAACCACGAAGCCAGAGGAGCCATTGTTTCTCTGCTGTTGTGTTTCCTCTTTTCATTTCCATGGACGCCCTGCCTTCTCCACATCGTGCATCACAATCACTTCTCTTCTCCGGCTTGTTTGTTGATTTGCTTAGGCTGTTACAGTGGAATTTGGTTTTACTGAATTCTCAGCATGAAAACAATCCTCTCTGAAAGCAAAATTGTGTGTTAAACTGTCTCTTCCTTCAAGACAAGTGATGCGGGCAGCTTCCGTGAGCGAGCCGGACCCCTTTCCGGTAGGTGGGCCGCTGGAAGCAAGTGATGGAAGGGACGCCCTCACTCCCTGCGGAGCTGTTTCCACAGCAACAGAGCAGAGGAGTGAGGGCAAAGGGGGGCAGAGCCGGAGGAGAACCCACCCCTCATGGACTTACTCAGGATTCCTGTCTCCCTTACCCCTGGAGACCCGGGTCCCTGAGCCACCCGGGGTGTCAGAGAGTCCTGGGAACCCCATGTCCTGCCAGTTTCTTGGGGCACGTCCCACCTGCCACGTCCAATCACCACGCAGCCCAGAGCAGAGCGGAAGTTGGCTCTGCCGAGGGTACCCATTGCTCCTGTCCATCTGATGAAAGCTAGTCTTCTTCCAAGAGCAAGTACAGACGCTGCTTGACCCCCTTAAGCCAAATAAATGGCCCCTTCTCCCCCGCCCCTGCCAGCACTCACCCTGCCCGCCTTCAGGCGGTGCTGGTTGCAGGGAGCTGCAGCCGTCTGCTTACATTTCTGTCTCCTCTCTAACCACTGACCTTCTTGATGACCAGCCTCAGTCTCTTCTCTTTGTCTCACGATTGCCTGGAACAGCTATGGGCACATAAGAGGCGCTCAGTGAGTACCTTCTGATTGAACAAATGAATAACTGAATGCCATCAGCAGCTCTTCAGAACCCCATGCTGTAGAGGGAAGCTTAAGCGGCGGCCGGCTCTCCTTCCACAAGGACGCAGAGCTGTTGACAGCGCTCACTGCAGAGCTGCAGCACCCCCTCACACACGTGCATCCCCTGAGTCTTTGTCACAACGCTGGACGGAGGAAGTACTACTATGGCCATTTTGACATAACTTCCAAAATGAAGTTTAGAAGCCTGAGACCTGCCCAAGGTCACACAGTTACTCCTTGGCAGGTGTGGAACTCCAGCCCAGCCTTAGCGAAGATGGGGCCACAGCTCTTCTTTAATGATAACATTTGCTTCCTGAAACCCTCCTCCTACCGCGTGTGAGTGGCAGAAAGCAGTGATTCAATTAGGGCTCCTCGGTTACAAGCAACAGAAACTGAGAGGGCATTTATTGTAAGCATATTGGGGCTTCATAAAATCCAAGAGCAGCTGAAGAAGTTTTGGGCATTCCACCAAGGAAAGCAGGCTGCAGGAAACCCAGCCAGCATCTCACAGCAAAACCCGAAAAGAACACCCAGCATTGGATGAGACCAGCGCGGGATTCCTTCATCCTCGAGCCACTCTTTCAAGAGTCAAAGTCCTGGGAGACGGTCCAGCTGGCCAACCGACTGCTCCTCTCCAGCTGTCCACGCTGGGGACAGGAAGGACCTGGTCACTTTCAGCTCCGGGAATGGGAAACGGGCACCCAGACTTACCAGCTCCCATGACTGCACAAAATGCAAGATGGTCATTACCCAAAGGGAATTTGAGTGTGGTTGAGAAGGGGGGAAAATGCTAGGAGACAGCAAAGGAACAAATAAATACAGTACTCAAGGTTAATATTAATTAATATTGGGGCATTTTATATAGAAGAGAAAGAGCAATTTGTTTGTGTTATTTTCTCCCTCAATGGAACTATGATAGTCATAATTACCACCATGATCCTGTCTGTGAAAGTCAAATAACATTGCTTGCAGCTCACACAGAGAATGTCACGATGTGGAAGACTTCAGACTGCTGTGCCCTGGAAGCTGAATGAAATACATTTCTTTCTTTGTAAAGTGTGTGTTCTTCACTGTACGGTATGGTCAGTGGAGAGCTTATTTCTCTAAAACACTTTCCTCATTTGATAATATCTTTTTATATAAGTAAAACTTCCTGCATTTTATTTGCTTGACTTTCACAAGTTTGCTTTCTGAACATCCAGACACTTTGGAGATTAAGTTTGTTCCCTTTTTTTCCCCCAGAAATCATCAGGCAAACTTAGCTTTGCAATACCCAGAATTGACTGAAGTCCCAGATTCCACCCTCCTTGAGATCATGATTATGTCTCCATGTCTCATGTACCTGTAACCTGGTTGTGACCTTCAATACTTTCTACTTTGGGATTTTTTTCTTTGCTTGAAGCATCATTGCAGAGTTTGTTTTGTTGAATGCTGTTTGTCGAGACTGGCTACAGCAAATGAGTTGACCTGAGTCTTGCTCAAGTTTCTATTGATCAGTGAAATTTTGGGGAGGTGGGGACGAGTCAATAATTAGCAATTTCTTTTTCTTTACAACATATTGAAAAAAGAAAGACATGTGATCAGTTATTTACTATTGCAGTTGGCACACAGCAGTTTAAAGTGTGACCCACGGTCACTGTCATGAGGCGCCCACACTGGCTTCAGCACCAGGTCAGTTTGCCGGCTGGCCCTGGGACTTAGCCAAATTCCTTACCCTTCGCTGTTAAGTTGCAGGAACCAGCAATGACTGTGGCAAGTGACTTTAGGAGAAAGACAGTTGTCCTCTGCAGTCTGACCCATCCCCGCCCACAACCCTGCCGTCCTCTATGGGAAACAGGAAATAGGAAATGGGAAATGGGAAATAGGCTGGAAGCAGCAGGGTTTTCATTTTAAAAGTTGCTGCAGCTGCTTCAACGTCCGTCAAACATGCGTCAAGCACCTATTACATACAGGAATCTGGTCACACCGCAAGAGACTGCAACTTTCGTGGGTTAGGACCACTCAGTTATTGGCAATTTCATAGGCTGCAGCCTGTGTAAAGCTGTCCAGGGGACAGAGCACAGGGCAAAGCAGTCGTGGTGGGTGCCCTTGTAGCAGGGACAGCAGGCTTTGGACGTTGTTACAAGGCACACGGAGCAACTAAGTCGTGGGCAATGCCACAGAGAGCAGGTGGCAGGGAACCTCCCAATGACTGAGCAGAGGCAGGGGGCTGGGGGACCAGCCGAGGTGTGCAAGGACTGGGGAAAGGCC